GTCTCAAACTAGAATGAAATAACTGTTAATCCTTCTCAAGATTTTAGCGATATTCCTAATGATATCACTTCTGGATTAAAGCTAGATTCAGAATTATACAAATACTCTCGTGAATCACCAAATAAAAAAAATCAAAGTTTTGTTAATTGTAACTCGTAATGTTAAGTCACTAATGCCAATGATAATTTATATTCACAATCAAAAAGTTATGTTTAGAATCTATTGTGTTTTTCATCATTCCAGTTCAAAATAACTAAACGCGGCGGCCTTTGAAGCGTACGGTATTGGGCTCGAGTCCCGGGGTGACCCATCCAGCTGATGAGTCCCAAATAGGACAAAAGAAGTGTCAAACTGGATTCCTTTGCTAGCCACTATCCATCTTTGCTTAAAAACCTTGTGACCTAAATCTATATCGAGACAATCCGCACAGAGACTGATGAATCGCGGTTCTAAATAACAATGGAAAGATACAAGTAAAAAAACAACACCAAGTGAATTTAAAAAATGTCTTAAAAATTATCAGTATAGGTTTATGGAGATTACCAAGTTATTGATTGATGTTAGACTACCATTGAAAACCTGGAAGTGTTGGACGTCCGTTTCGTCCTATTGTTGGACTCTTCAGCAATGCGCACCCACGGTCCTGCCCGTGGCATTCGAATCCAGCTTATTGAACAGGAACATCAGCGGGGACAATCGAATGAGATTAACACAACATTACAGAACCTGTTAGTAAAATCTAACAATCATAAAATAAAGGCTTAATTTGCAAAATGTAAATCAGTTGTCTCATAATAACTCAGACTTCATTGTTCTTGCATTTTCATACAAATTGCATCCTGTTTCCATTCTTTACTGTTCGATCCTCTTGTCTCTACTGTCAGACCTTCTGTTCAAGAATTACATTATATACTACTTATGTCAATATAAGTAGCACACATCATACCAGGACCTTGTGTCTTGCGCGCGAACGCTTAACCTACTTGAATTAATTGAAAACTGTTTCATATTAGTTAGATTTTATTCTGAATAATAAACTATTCAATAATTAATGCAATGAATGAATTTCCAATATAAATAAAACAACTTTTGTTTATTGTATTAAATTGAATCATGAATTTCATAACATAAATGAAGTGATTTTAGGAATAAACAATATTGTATCAAATTAATTAGTATATTTCTTAATCGTTTTATATACACTGATCATTTAATAATAACATTAATTAAGTGTCTGATTTTGTACAAAAATATTTATTGATCAATAAAGAACACAATGAAATAGTTTTTTTCATACTGAATTTGACACTAACTGATCACAATAATCAATTATTAAAATATTTCTTCTTAGATATTGATTTCTATCTGGGTTTTTTTTTAAAACTAGCACCATGGTTTCCATTTTATGTTTTAAGGTATTTGATTATTAAATAGATTTTTTTTCCTCTCAGAGACATTAATTGATGTTATGTTGGTGTATAAACTAGTGATTATTACAGATTCATTTATTATCTCACGATAACGTTATGTAGAAAAGTATTAAAATCAGATAATGAAAAATGTAGACGTTTCAATCTGAATTCTCTGGTTCACATTTCAGGATTTAGCTAATTCAGCTAATATAGTTTGATCACCACTCAGTGTTATCGCTAATATGAGGTATTTGAACCAAAAATTCATGGGTTAACAATACTTACTTATGCCTGTTACTTTTTGTCGAGGAGCATAGGCCATCCACCAGCACTCTCCATTCCACTATGTCCTGAGCAATCATGTCCAGCCCTTTCCAGTTGTTATTCATCCTTTTCATATCTGCCTCTATTTCCCGACGTAATGTATTCTTTGACCTTCTTATTTTCCGTTTCCCTTCAGGATTCCATGTTAAGGCTTGCCTGGTGATGCCGTTTGATGATTTGCGTAATGTGTGTCCTACTCACTTACAACGTCTTCTCGTAATTTCCTCCTCAGCTGGAAGCTGGTTTGTCTTCTTCTACAGACATTCAGTATATTACGTAGATAGCTGTCCATAAATAGTTATACCTCTTTGATGATGTTTGGATTAGTTCTCCAATACAATAAAACTGACACGACGTTCGTTTTGAAGATTCTGATTTTGATATTGGTTGAAAGTTGTTTTAAGTTCCACATGTTTTTTCAATTGTAGGAATGCGGCCCTTGCTTTTCCGATCCTCGCCTTTACGTCTGCATCCGATCCTCCTTGTACATCGATGATGCTTCCCAAGTACGTGAAAGATTCCAAATCTTTCAGAGTTTTGCTATTAAGTGTGACTGGGCTGGTGTTCTTTGTGTTGTATTTGAGGATATCGCGTTTTCCTTTGTGTTTGTTGAGGCCTACTGATAGGGTTCCCAATAAATCTCAAGAAATTCAATCAAAAAGCCAACAACCATCAATGCAAAGAACCTGTGTTAAATTAGTTGTCTTGGAAATAACTGATTTTTTTGAAGGGCCTCTGTCAGAAAGTGAAATCAGTATACGAAGTTTAAGGTTCTGAACTTGTTGCTCCTTTTGATATTTGTAAGCACTAATAGAGTTATAAATTCTGATAGTACTCTTTGGTTTTGCAGATCAGTCCAACTACAATCATTTCACGATAGAAACTATTTTCTGATAGTCGCTATAGCATAAATAACCAGAAAAAGTATCTGCGTTTTATTCAGACATCTAGTGATCTATAAAAGGTGGAACAATAATCAAATCAATCAATCATATGAACAGAAAATATGCATTGATATGAATTTATTATTGGTAACTTTTACAAATGTAACGAATGTTTATGATCAATAACCGTTTGTTTTATGACCATCATTTTAATCCTCACTCAAATGCAGTGAAAGAATACCAATTTGGTCCAATATTTGGTGTACGAATAATAGATTTTCCACACACTGGTATATATGTACGCAAATAATGACCATATGCAGCTAGTTTATCTGATTCCTAAATTCTTTTTATTTAGGTGCTTGAAGAACAAGTCTTATAAGCGAAATTATCTGTTCAATAGTCCTACTTATTTCAGCAAATTGATCAAAATGATAACAAGCTGAAGTGACTAAAATAATAACGGCAATGTTCTTTATTTAGAGATATGTAGAATTTATTTAAAAGTTCAGTTCATGAGTCGACGTAAGCTAGAACACCAATGAAAACCTGGAAGACCTGGACTGCCGTCTCGTCTTAGTATGAGACTCCTCAGTAGTGCGCACCCACAATCCTGCACGAGAGACTCGAACCAAGGACCTTCTGTCTTGTGCGCGAACACTTAACCTCTAGACCACTGAGTTAGCATCCAACGGTGTTAATGTCTAACCCCAATCGATTCACGATCTTGCGCAACCATTCATATATTGTCTGAGGTAGATACCTGTCTCTACTTGACATAGATTGGACTCATGAATTCAATAATTAGAAAAATTACTGCAATATCCACAAACCTACATTCAGATATGTAGAATCGTCTGAATTCTTGTCAATCTCATGACTTTACCATAAAAGCTAACAGAGATTATTTTTCTTAACATAAATATCTGGCATAATGATTTTGATAATTTCCCTATCGAATTACCTTTATTCATTTAAAAACCAACTAATATAAATAGTACTTCCATTTCAATACACTTCTACTGGTATACGATAACTTTAAATATTTAGTAGTGTTTCTGTATTCAGGAATGGGAGTTTTTTTATATATTAGTACATTTAGTAACTCACTACTTGAAGAATTGTAATCCATGCATCATAATTGTTCGAGGATTTACATACTCAAACTGTTCTGAATTCTATTTTTAAAATAATTAGATACCATTAATAAGATTTAACGAAGGAAGAAAATTTTAATTACTAAATTTCATTGTTTTATTAAAATGTGGTTATTTTGCTTCCTGGTTCTAGTTTTAGCAACTTGATAGTTTTATTTCTATTTAGTATATTAATCATTTACATGTCAGCTAACAGAAATTATAAAAATATTCAGAATAAATTGAAAATATTTTCTTAGGTAGTAAAGATTCATTTCATATTTATTACCTACATGATTAAAAAGCTGTTACGTGCATTTAACGGTATCGAATTCCAGAGTTCTCAACTCATAGGACTTTCAGTACGACAATGCAATTGAATGACCAAACAAGATCCAGACTATTTATCGCTGAATGAAAAAAAAACTTAAAATATATCAAGGTACGGTACTTGAAGGATTCACGAACAGGATGGAAAACTAACATCGAATGAAACTCTAAAACATACGAGAATAAACCAAAAGTGAAACAAAATCAATTAACGAATAACCTATTTAGTTAACTTTCAAAACCAGATTTTCATTGGAGTGTAACATGAATGATTCAAAAAGAAATTTTCATAGGATTTTCGAAATAACAGTTATAAAGCAGTTGAGTTTTTAATATATCAAATAAGTCAGCAAAATCATTTCCTAGTCATTCAATTATCTAGTACGTAATGAATAAATAAGTAATTGTGAGCATTCTCAATTTAACCATTTCACATAAATATCCATTTTTTGTTGATCAGTACTTGCTTTGATTTTGAACAAAATAATACGCAGTTTATGTTATGAATTTATTATTCTAACGGTAGAAATCGAGTAATTACGCCTACCTTACAATTAATCAATCATAGATACATCAGTCAGATGTTCTATTTCTTAAGGTAATCACCCGCATAAATAGTTCCAATTCATTTGAACGCTTATAATGATGAGAATGATTCGAATAATAATTGTCAAACAGTTTTATGTCAAAACACACTAAACATCTTTGTCCATACATACAAAATTGAATCGGTAGCTCTAGTCATATGGAATAGATTTGGTGTTTTATAGACAAAGATAAATTGGTTAATTACTTCAAATTCGTTAAATAAAACAAAGAAAACCATAATCCATTTTTATTTCTCATATTTGGAATTATTAAAAAACAAAACGCTTTCACGAAAATTTTGGTGATATTTATCGATAATCATAATTATGAATGATAATCTAGATAATGACAGTATAAGAACAGAAGATTATGCTTCAAAATTCAATGAAACAATAAATTTACCAGGTGGTAAGTGTCTATTTTCCCCATTATCAATATTAAGTAAATAATTGACAATCTACTAATCTAATTGATATCCTTGATAATTCTAACAAGTTGATGAAATTCTATTTCATATTATTTTCAATGGTTAAGATCATGAGTCAGTTGAATCTCGCAGGGGGAGAGGTCATGGATGCGCACTGCTGAGGAGTCCCACAATAGGACGAAACGGCCGTCCAGTGTTTCCAGGTTTTCCATGGTGGTCTAGCTTCAACTGACTCATGATCTTAACCATTGAAATTACTATAATATCCACAAAACCCATCACATATTATTTTGTCAAGTTTTTGTAATAAATGTATATTATTCAAATAATAAATGAAAAAAGAAGTGATCATAATTTATTTGTGTTACGATCTAATATCAGTTCATCTCTCTATTAATACTAATAAACCTAATTATTTTATAGTTGATGTTTGTGAATGGTTGAACGTGGTGGTTATGATACAATTGTGTATGATTCGTTTATAGGGAGAGCTTAAATTTGTACAACTTTGTTATTCACCGGTGTCATAGATGTTATTATCGTTTCAAAGTACTTTTTGTTAACATAGGTAACTATGACTATTGAATCTAATTTATACTGAATACCATTTATCACTGTTTTGACTAACGTGATTATAATTTATAGACAAGGAAATTAACATTTAGTGTAAATTCAGCCTAAACATCATTTATTATTAGAATTTAACGTGTATTGTAACTAGGCTTTGCTCAATAGTAAGTTATTTATCAAAACGACGATTGTTATTTCGCTACAGAATGAAAGGTAATTACGGCAGATGAATACAACTTTTCACAAGTGAATAACTGTTACTTCTAAAATGTAAATATCTGTCATAGCGTTTGTATATTGTTTTGTCAATAATCATTGAAAACAGATATGAATATGGGAGTGATCTGAATAGGTAATTCATTTAGATGATAAATACAATTAATGATCCAACACTATAGTTATGTCAAACTATTTTATCGAGATCTACATAATTTTCACTATTGTTAAGTATCTAACGATTTTGTTAGATCTATATTCATTAAAGTATTTGTATTTTCTAGTTGTTAGAACAGTGTGTAGAAATTTGAATAAGCACATTTTTGTACCTCTTGGGCTTCATTAACATTCGAAATGGACAAAACATTAAGTTATCTAGTTCAGTGGTAGATGAAACAGAATCTAAAAGTAAACTAATTGTTTTTAAATATGGAAAGTGTATGAAATGAGGCAGTCCGATGAATCGTCCACGTTTCTGTTATTTTGAGACCAACAAACCACCATAAACCCTGGAATTATAAGTTGAAGATTCGAGATCACATTTAAAACATGTTTCATGGAAAACAAAGTGTATATTATGGTTTCAAAACGAACGAAACAAGGTTTATAAAAATACTTACCAAAAGTAGTTAAGTTTGGCGACTCTGGACACATTTTACGACGATATTGTGTACAACCAAATTATATTCAACAAGCTAGTAACTTAGAAATAATCAAATAAAAGGATTTTAATTGATTTTTTTTATATAACACATTATAAAACTCCCATTTTACAAATTAGTGATCAGGTTACGTCCAAGAAATATAGATTCCTTCCCGTTAATGAATTATTTACAAAGGTATTATAATTTGTGACTCAGTAACATCAGACTGTTGATCCACTTGTTAGGCATAATGATCTTCTGGTTCCTAATATCTTTCAGCTTACATCACAGTTGTAATTGGTTATTACCAGTCTATATTTCATGGTAATATCTAGCATATGTATCAGCGCCAAGGTTAGTTTAAAATGAACTGACCATCAGGTAGAAAGTTTATAACAAATATATTTTTTTATATCCTAATGAGTATAAAAATTGTATTTCCGACGTTTCGTGACTTAATGTAAGTCACTTCATCAGATTAAATAAATAACCAGATTCAGTCAGAAATACAATTTTTATACTTATTAGGATATAACGAAAATTACATTTATTATTAATATCTAACATAGTTAATGTATTTATATTAACTAATATTATTTAACATGATAGCTGGACCATTTTCCCGAGCAGACGTAGTTTGAAGAATAAAAACATCAGTGAACCTGAAAGGAAATGAACGCGATTACAAGTTAGGATAATGAGAAGAAATATTCTCTGGAACTACCATTTACCGAGGGATTGTTGGATTAATATTTCTTGGGTTAGTTTATAACCACTAGACATTGTGGCCTTAAGATATCTTAATAGATCAACCTTAAAGGACGCACATTTTTCAGAGTGCATAATACTGTTTAAACACTTAACAAAATCCAGTTACTAAAGTGTTCTACACCCGATTCAATCCAACTTTTCATGTAATTTAACGCTGATCACTAAATAGTGGTCAGGAGTTTCTTGTCAACAACCTTCCAACTTCTAAGATATATGAAACATTAATTTAGTGTCGTCCATAAGTAACTATTAAATTCACAAGGTGGCTGTGTGTTTACTGTCTTATGATATTTCAGACTGAGGCAAAACAGATTTCCGTTTGCCTGACTTACAAAATTTCTTTAAGTGATGTGATTTAATAGTGGAAAATACTCTTAAATTAACCATTTCAATACGAACAATCTGTTTGAAAGATACTTATTTTATTGAGGCGAATACTGTTGGAAAAAATTGCTGTGAAGCAAATACGTTTGTCAAAATAAGAATACGATGAATGTTTGATTGTTCTGTTCTGTATTTTAGGAAAAGAATTAAACAGATATAAATTTAATGTACAGCTAGACTCTGTCATTAAGGATTTATGAAATGGCTGCCTGGACACTATGAATGCTTAAAAATATTTCTTCATATGTAATAAGTAATAGATATTTTCTGTCTGACCAAAAATAATTTCATGTATGCACTCAAACGCTACGTTGATACTCATCAGCTTCCTAGACCGAAGCTAGTAAAACAAATTTCGAACCTAGAATTCAATGTCTAGTAATTTTATCACTAAAACGTAATTTAATAAAAATCGCTTGTGACGTGAACATTCATATATGAGTGATTGATTGTGAAGACTAATCCTATTCTCAATTTACAGACGTTAGCCAGTGAAATGCAATTTACTGCTGAAAAGTACCAAGACATTAGAAAGTAGCATCTGTTTATTCTAAAATGACTCATAAATGAACATTATCATGAGCTCGTTTATGGGCCTTTATATATGTTTTTTCTATCTGAGTATTAGAGATACCATCTACTAGGTTGAACCGAAGTTAATGAATTAGGATTTGAACCGTCAACGTAAATTGTGAAGGTCAAAAGCTTTAACTAATAAATAATTATTCCAAAAGTTGAGATCATAAGTCAATTGAAGCTAGACCATCATGGAAAACCTGGAAGGATTGGACGGCCGTTTCGTCCTAGTATCGGACTCTTCAGCAGTACGCGTTCACGATCCCGCCTCGCGAGATTCGAATCCAGGACCTATCGGTCTCTCATGCGAACGCCTAACCTCTAGACCATTAAGCCGGCATCCAGTGGTGTTAATGTCTAATTCCAACTAATCCGCGAAATTGAGCGACACATCTGCGCACACACTGCGCACTGCTCAGGAGTACCACAATAGGACGAAATAGCCATCCAGTGCTTCTAGGTCTTCTACGGTTGTCTAGCTTCAATTGACTTATGATCTCAACTATTAAAATTACTATAATATCCACAGAAACCTCTTCTGAAAATAATTATTCATTACAAAGTAATCATTAGTTTTAAAATAAATTTTTAATATTGTTAATTAGTCATATTAACTTCCTTTTTCATAATCTATTCAAATATATACAAACAAATCTGAAAAGAAATTTAACTGCCTAAATTTTATTTCAATGAAAGTTTCACTGTAGATCATGATTATAATTCATTGATTATTATATAATTTGTCTATAACTGTATATCACTTATACTGATCACTATTACTTTCCAAGGTTGATTTAATAGTGACATGGCTCAGAATCGATCACAATGGTGTAGGTGTATACACTCTCTGTCTTCCCTTAAACTAAGTGATTAAAATCGCTTCATATCTTTCTTTCTACGTACTAATTCTTTCTTCCTGTACTATATCCTTATATGCAATCTTTCTTTAATATATTACCACCATTGGCTTAGATACTATGAATCCGGTGTTCATCTTATTGTGTTATTGCGGTATGGTAACTTGGACCGATGCATATATGTGCCTGATCTTACGTTGTAGCTGACTGACTGAATGACTGAAGGTTGATATACTTAATAGCTAAGATTATTGTAATTAAATATTCTTATTTAAAAATAAATGAACTATATTAAAAATGTCACTTATGATTATAAAAGATGGATTATATTTTTCTGTAAAATTGACATTACTCCTTGTATTACTATTAAATTTATATTGAATAAATGAATGAATGTAAGTTTTGCTTTTTCATATTAAAACAAAAAAAAGAAACAATGTAGTCAATTGGTATTTACTTAAGAATCAATATTATTGTTTTAACTGTTTATTTAATATTTTAATAAAATTCTTTAACTGTCAAAATGAATTAATATAAGTGACGGTAGATTGTTAAAACATTTTGTGTAGAAAAAACTATGCCAATTAAGTTTATTAATTGATTTGAGATTAGAAATTAAATTAATTTAATATAATTTGATAGTTGAATTCATGAGTTAATAAAAGCTAGACCCCATGAAAAATCTGTAAGCACTGGACAGCCGTTTTGTTCTACTGTGGGACTCTTTAGTAGTGCGCATTCACGATCCCAAACCGTGGGATTTGAACCCAGGAGCTATCGGTCTCGAGTACGAACGTTTAACCTTTAGACCACTGAGTCGGCATCCAACTCAACTATTAAACTATTATAATACCCACAAAAACCCCTACAGATAATTTTATATAAATAATATTGAAGAACTTATCATGGAATATATATCTCGCTTAGGAATTTTATAGATAAATGATAACTTTCATTTCTTGG